AACTGCAACAACTGCTAAAAAGAGAGAACCATACACAGTCAACCAACGAAACTTAGACCTGCTAGAAGCCTCCAGGAATATTTAAATGCCATTTTAGGGGAGAAAGAAATGCTTTTAAGATTTTCTATCTCAAGTTAAGAGTGACTTACTTTTTTTATTTTTTACTGAAAATGTTCTAACCATTTTTTTAGGGGATATCGCTTGTCTAGTATTTATACAGTACTTAAAGAAATGAGGGTGCTGTAAGATCTCCCCAAAATATGAAATAAACTGATGCCCTTCAATGAAAGTAGATACACTTTCTTGCAAATGCATTGAATTTTTTTGTCCATACACAAAAGCATTGTGGGCATCAGTTTAACATGGGCATACAGCACCTTTTATTCATATCAGGACATTTGTTTTTATTTCCAATTTAAACTCCATTCGCCATCTTTTCATTACAGCAGCATCAACACAGACTAGCATCTCACTGTACATCTTACCATAGAGGGTTTCTATCTTTTTCCACGTACTCTTTGTGGATAGTACCATGGCAATCCCACCAGATACAAAGCATAATCTTTCTATTAGTCAAATTGCACTTTGCGATGCTGCCGACGGGCTCAGCGGGTGCAGACCAACCCCCTTTTAAGCCTGTGTTGTTGAAAAATCCACTTTTGATCATAAGTGACAATCCGGTCCAGAATTTTGTCCTTGCGTTGATTTTCGAGCAGATTAGTGCAGGCCGAACACGTCTGTCATGTGCCTCTGAGGCAGCTCTTTGCGGCACCCAGTCATTGAACTTGTGCATAAAGTTTATGCTATGCATTGTGCAACTAATGGACATGGTACTAACGTCTAACTCCTTAACAAGCTCTCAAGTGGTTACATACTGATCTTCTTCCGTAAGTTCTCACAAGCGGGTCTCATCAACATCAGTAGGTCAGCAAGAGCACTCTGTTTCTTAAATGTCATAGTCCTTGCTTTTGAACTTTCGAACCTTGTTTTTGAACAAACCTTCACAGTGTCATATGATACAGCATGATTTGGTGACATTCTGTAGCTGACTTTTTGCAACAGAACTGGAAGTAAATGATGGTTCTAATCTGGTAGCATGATAGTTCCATTTCAGACACCTTGTACTTAATGATAAAGATATTTTTTTACAAATTTCACAACTTAGTGTTCTAAAGAAGTCTCCTTACTTCAAATGCCAACAATCATTTAACAAAATACTATTTTATTAAGAACTGCATCTGTTGCTTTCAAACTACTTTGTTTCTTAATCAGTAACATACAGATTAAATGTTTTATCTTAATACTTTGCTGAATGGCAACATACTGGCACGTTGAAAATAACAGTATCCTATTTATAGCCATGAGAACACACTGCTTTTATATAACTTAGTTTCTTGATTAAATCTGAAAGACAAATATTTTATACTTTACTAAATGGCAACACCCAAGAGCATGGAAGAAAAAATTTTTCATTTTGAGCAGTGGATTTCACTACTTTTAAACTTTGTTACAGAATTAAATAGGCATACATTTTTTAAAAAAATAAAACAAATTTAAAATCTGGGCTTCGAGGTGCACATGATAAAGTGAAACTAGTATGCATTCAAATTTAGTGGCTCTATGTACCACCAATTTTGCAATATGTAAGAAGCATACATACATACAGATTTTTACTTATTTAATAACATCATATTCATCAATTTCACACAATTTTGTAGCATCAATTGATTTTAACATTAGGTTGACATAATAAGATATCAGTACATACCTCTCTATTATAATTATTCTAATCAACAATTGTATTTGAATTTATTTGAAGCAAACTTTGGTTTGCAAAACTCAGCAGATGTTAATGCCCGACACTATTAACTAAATAAATTGTACAGCAATAATGAAAGGAATCCTTAATGAAGTATTTATGATCTGACACCTTTTTCTCTTCCCTGCATGATCAAAAGCTGCATAAATATTTTGACTTTGAGTTCCATTACAATTTCATAAGGTGGTTACAAGCAGAATATTTTTTTGTAGAGAACATTTCTTTATTCGTGAAAAAAGGATAAACACTTCTTTATATCTAGGAAAATTCAAAATTGTAAAATCCACTGGAATTAAAAAAATTCGACAGCACAGGCGATAAAGTCAGCAAAAATGATACATCTGACGCCAAACAGTATATCCCAGGTGATAACCTTTTACTGCCACATTTTCAAAAAAATCACAGCCATTTTTTACCAGCCATGTCTTTCCCCTAATACATCAAAAATGGGTGAAAAAACAACGAAAATTTGGGATTTGCACAGATCAGAGGAAGATTCTGTCAAATTCGGAAAAAAAAAATGTAAATGATACTAGAACTTTTATACCTCTAAAGTAAAAAAATCTTAAAATTAACATTTGTTAATATTTCTTCATGTGTTTACTGTGTGTTGTCGCCAATAAAGTCTGCTTGGCGAGATTTGCGCCGGCAAGATGGAAAAGTACCCCCTCTCCCCCAAAAAAACTTGTCACAGATGTCAGAGCAAAATACACAGCCAAACCAATCTAGCAACAATTCATTCTCGGAAGTATAACAGAAAAAAAAAAAAAAAAAAAAGGCCGCAAGTGGTATAGTTTTAATGGAAAATATGTTTGGCTCTACTCTTATATGCGCCTTAATTTCACCAAATGTGGCGATATGTGTTCTGTGCCGGTTTTCGGCACGATTGCGTGTTGCATGGCAACCCTGTTGACATTGAAAAATCTTTTCCTGGAGTGGTTTAATTGCTCGTTCGTATCGTGCATGTTTTGAAATGGCCTATGTTGCAATAATAGATGTAATGGGAAGATTTCAGTCGCGTAATTTAGATTGTGTGGAAAGTAAATTTAGTATTAAAAGGTATGATGTTGGAGTTGTTAATACGTCTTTTGTTCATGGGTGTGTTTATGAGGATTGAAGTGTATTTTTGGAAATTCTGTGTGACTTTTACAACAGAGTGCGAAATGCGGAGCTGCTATGAGAACTGGGATGAAGAAAGGCATTTCTGATAATTCTTGTGTGGATTTGCAGTCAAATGGTTCAGCGGAGTTTAGGATTTGGATTGTGGTTTTGGTGTAGTAAGTTAAATTAGGAGGCAGTTTTTATCATTACTTTTGAAATTTTAAATTTGTGGCACTTTTTTTCAGAGACGTGTGACTGGCAAAATTTTATTCAGGAATGTATTATTGTAAGTGCATTTTATTTTGTAGAATGTTATGTTCATTGTTTTTTTTACTATGAATTTTTGTTGTTATTGTTGTTTTTTGAATTGTTTGTAATTTAGTTTAGTTTATTTGGTTCATTTATGTGATTCAAAACCATGTTTTGAACACACAATTTAAGCTAAAAATCCGAAACAAAAACAAAAAATTTAGCAAAAACATAAAGTTTCTAACCAAAAATATATGACAAGAATCCATGTACACAGCGATATATTTTCTTTAAGATCGAAATGTAGACAAAAAATTTAGATAGTAATATGGCAACATGGAGTTTCTTGCCAAACATTTTTGCCGAGAAATTTGGCGACCTGAGGGTGCATGTAAGAGTAGTTCCATAACTTTTTTTGGAACTACTCTGATATGCGCCCTCAAGTCGCCAAATATTTTTGGCGAGAAACTTTACACTGCCATATTACTATCTAAATTTTCTGTCTACATTTCGAACTTTTAGCCTAAAATGTCTCCAAAAACGCGGTTTTCGCACATGCAAAAGCTACGTTTTGAACACACAATTTAGCTAAAAATCCGAAACAAAAACAAAAAATTTAGATAGCTGACAAGAATCCATGTACACAGCGACATGTTTTAACTTAAAAAAACATCTACGAATGGCACAATGTAGGCAACGAACGAATCTACAAACTACGCACACCTTGCTTTAATAAATTAACATAACAACAATAAATTTCCAAGAATACCATGTACACAGCATCCTATTTAAACTTTAAAAAAATTCTACGAATTGCACAATTTAGGCAAGGAAGGAATCTACGATCTACGCACTCCTCGCTTTAATAAAATAACGTAACAACAATAAATTTCAAATAATACCATGTACACAACCGTTCTGTTTCAAACTTTAAAAAAACATCTACGAATTGCACAAGTCTAGACATTGCGCACTAAACAACAAAATAAACTAAAATAAATTTCAAATAATTTAAAAAAACAACAATAACGACAGAAATTTCATACTAAAGAACATAAACATTCTACAAAATAAGCATAACATTCTAGGATAAATAAAAATGCACTTACCATGAATTAATGCTTTTTCGAAGCAGCAGAATATAAATTTATACCGCCTTTAACATGCCGCCACGTAATCACTATCGTATTTACATGACAGCCAGACACACTATCCAGAAAATTTATACTATGGTTCACAAAATAAAAAAAAATCACAAATCCCTTACTTGTATCCATGCACTGCCATTAAAAATAATCTCCCAGACCCCCTCTTTCCACACTTCCAAATACCCACTACCCCTCAACAGGATAGCCACAATGATATTTCCTTTTGACGAACTTCAATTCAACAACTACCATTTTATCTTTCCCTCCCATCTTCTCAGACACAGAGGCGAATCAACGAGCTCCAGCGAAAGATTTTTCAACGTCAACAGGGTTGCCATAGAACATGCAATTGCGCTAAAAACCAGCGCAGAACACATATCGCCACATTTGGTGAAATTAGGGCGTATATTAGAGTTGTACCCTTTTTTCTAAACATATTTATGTCTTCGAAATATACAAGTTCTGCAACTATCAATATAATAACTACTTTTTCAGTTTTCATAACAGCATGCAGTCTACTTGCCACAGTAAAAAGAAAACACTCTTTTAGATTAAAATCAAATTATATGCTCTCGTTGCTTTAAATTTTTCAGCAATGTGTACAAAATTATTACCTTCCATTAACAGTAAAAATTTTTAACGAGTTCTAAAACAATGAAGCAACAAAAGAAAACATTACTTACATTTTCTAGTCAAATGTGATGTAGCACTTCTTACTATGAGACCACCACAAGAGAAAGACATGATAGATATGATGCACCCTTTTTTAATTAACCTAACCTATAAAAAATGAAGTGGAAACTTACAAGACAATTATAAAAAATTCTAGATTAACATAATATATATTTTCTATTCATTATTCTTTACTGAAAATCCTGCTTTATTTTCACGATAAAAACCTATCAGATCTTCATCAAGTTTCAAAGAAAATGTAAGCATGCACACAAAATATCCAAAAAGAATGGAATTGATGACAATAATGATACACGTAATACTCATCATTATAAACTATGTCTGCATCTATACCTGATTCATTACTTTCAAGTTTAAAAAAAAAAAAAAAAAAAAAACTTCCTCTCTTCCCCAAAACATTTGGCAGTCTTTCTTTTTTTCCCCCTTATTCTTCTTCTTTATTCTTCCTCCCCTCTTTTTCTTCATAGAAAGGAGACTCTCTCCATCCCTCCATCCTAGTAAACTAAGTTTGCACTGTACCAATACGCTTCTAATGCTATTTCAATAACTCAGTTCTGACTATAGCCGGGCCCACCAGCGGCCGAGCGGTAAAGACGCTGAACACTGGTAGTTCGGTCTGAGGTTCGAACCCCGCGAACGGGCTGGCTGCATGGCCGATTTCGTGGTTTTCCCCATGTGTAACGTGTATACGAGCCAGTTTCCCTTAGACAGTGATCCACGAAGGCATCCCTCCCTTTAGGCAGATAGCCCTCGTGTGCTTTGCCGTAATTGAATAATCCAATCCAATCTGACTATAGCCATTCTAGAATTACAAAAAAATTCTATTTGATCTTCCATCTCAATTATTAGTTACCCTACTACCTCTCAATGTGAACAAGAAAGCCATATTTCCTACACCAATATGCCAATACAATCTATCAACATTTACTGCTACAGTTCATCTTGGAGAATTGCTATATGATGATCACTATGCTATGATAATTGCTTGAAAACTGTACCACTAAGATAGGGTCAAGCCCAGGTGCCCAACAGAAAGAATTTGTTTGTTTAGCACGGAATACAAATTAAAGCCATCGTCAGATTGTCCTAGCTCTAAAAGATTTTCACAATCGAACACCATCCCCCAAATTGCCATATTTGTAGCACATGTTTATACATTAGGAAAAGATAAATATCATTCTTCAATTATAATAGAGGGGTTAGCTACAGTAATGGTGTAGTATGTAATCTACTGCTTTTAATTGATTATTTATTTCTTAGAGGAGTGTACTAAAAAACTGTTTTTAAATATGAAATTAAATAATTAATACATAAAAGATGATTTCATTAATTAATTTAATAACCTATTCAAATTTCTTCAACAAAAGTAGGAATGGACCTTATAAAAGGCATTTTTATGAGCCATTAGCCATATACATTATAAGGGGGAAAGTGCAGAATCACCCACTGTTTGGCACGTTTTTAAAAATTGCACAAACTCAGTATCCATGTACACATCAACCTATTTTCACTAAAAAAAAAAAAAAAAAAAAAAAAATCAGAGAATTGTACAAATTCGGCATTGTGCAATCCCTTTGTCCATGTACATATCGATGTATTTTCACTGAAAAAGTCAAAGGAAATTGACAAAAATCCAATTCTTTTACGCTTGTAAAAAGTGCCAAACATAATGTGCCAAATAAGTGATTCTGCACTTCACCCCATTATAATTGCATAGCATGATCAAAAAATAGTTGCTACTTTTACTAACAAAAAAGATCTCCCTCATGCTTCTGTGAGACAGTGTAAAAGTATATGTGGTGTGATACTCCACATATTGTGTAGAATCTTTAGCTTCAACATTCTCCATCATGATTCAGTTGTTTCAGCATCAGTACCATCTGCAGGATTGGCAAAGTTTTCCTGGGGATTTACAGTTTCAGGACTGTACCCTATTAGGCACAGCTGCTTATACTAGTCAGCCCCTGCCCTTAAAAGCAGTATATCATATACAAAATCATTTAAGTTCTGTATAAAGAACAAGTTGGTGAACTAACAAGTTTAAAAAAAAAAAAAAAAATACGAAAATCTGAAAGGTTTCAGATTTTAAATTATGTCTAAAGGGGCTTTTTTTTTTTTTTTTTTTTTTTTTTTTTGACATTTTGTGTGTAACCTTTATTTATTAAATATCATGTTCTTCGCTCTTAAACCATAAAATTCAGTTCAAGAGCAATATCGCAAAATAATTTAAATTGAATATATCTTTAGAATTTCCGATACACAATCTCACGCGGTGGAGATAAAAGTGTTTTTTCTGTAGAATGTTGCCAATGCTCGCTTTGAAATCCTTGAGTTTGTTAATCAAAAATTCATTAGCATTTTACAAAATATGAAATCAATAATAAAACAAATTCCAAATTTGGGCTTCCAGATGCCCATATTCGCAGTAGAATTACGAGATTCAAAATTCAATGGCTCTAGGTACTGTTGTTTTATCACAATACAAGAAACATACATACATTTATGCAGATTCTTCATTATTTAATTTTTTCAAATATAATACAGGACGATAATATTTGGTGGTAACAGTTTGAAAAGTGAAACAGACATTCAGAGTGATTTGACGCAAAATCACAAAACAAAAACAATAGTCCACAGGGACAAAGCCCCTTTGGACTAAAAAAGGATAAACTATTAATATTCACCCTGTAATTTGACAGACATTATCAAAAAAATTAAAACACAATCTGAAATACAAGGATTAAACATTATGATGTGAGATATTATTGTTGTTTTCAGCACATACACACTAACCCACTTCGCTTAAAAAATTACAGAGAATTCCAATTTGGTACCTGGAAAAAAAAGTCTTGGAGGAAAACCGGTATAAAATATATACCGGCTCTAAAAATTCAGAATTTTGCTCTACACTTTTTTTTAAGTCGCAATTTTGTGTTCTTAAGGCCCACAAGTTACAATTCATGCATAACTTTACTAAAATTTCAATTATTTTATATACCACCTCTCAAAGGGTTAAAACTAATATAAAAAAAGTTTCCAGAATCCATATCATAAAATTAGATCATTATAATAAGGCTTTTAACATGGTACTGATAGTATTATTCGAATTTTAAAATTCAAAGTTTTAAATATACAAAAACATCTTGTTTTCCGAAACAAAATTTAACAGATGCCAATAATTTGTAAATCAGTTAAAAATACAATAAACTTAAGGATTCCATTTTAAATTGATTTAAAAATCACTATCATCCTCAGCTTCAAAACAAATAATAATTAAACAATTTGATATTTTGTATTGTTTTTAAATACTGAGTTTTTGTATGTTAACAGTTCATATAAACTTCTGTATGTTATATAAATATGTTCATATAAATTTTTGTATGTTAACAGTGGCTAATCTTTGGAATATGGTAACAGGTAGTTTGGCGACATTTTGGTAAGGCGATAAAGGTTACTAGCTAGGACTTTAGCAGTGTACATGGATAAAGTCAAGAGTTGTGCGCAATGCCATTTTTGTGCAATTCTGGAATGTTTTTTTAAGTGAAAATAGGTCGACGTGTACATGGATACCGTGTATGTGCTATTCTTAAAAACGCAGCAAGCAGTTTGCGATTCTGCACTTTCTCCCAATTTCGCACCTAATCTTTGTCATGATTAAGCACTTTTGTTCTATAAAAGTTCTCGCATAAGCCTAATTCGGCTAGCAGATTGTTGGAAAAATGTTGAGTAAAAAAAAAAAAAAATGCCTTTACTTTGTGAAAACAAAATGGCGTCCAAACAAAAACTAGTAGGTTGCTGTAGCAGGGTTGGTCGCCAAATTTTCACCAAGTTACCATAATCCAAAGATTACTTAACAGTTTATATACACTGTGTGAATTAACAGGCCAGAAAAGCAAGAAAATTAATCAAAAATTTTTAAACTTTTTTACAACTCCAGACAGTAACTGTTTTTACAGGTGAAGATATCTGGGGTGAAGTACAGAATTGCTCACTTATTTGGTGTGTTATGTTTGGCACATTTTACAAGAGTAAGAAGAATTGGATTTTTGTGAATTTCCTTTGACATCCAATTTCTTTTGACATTTCCTAAGTGAAAATACATCGATGTGTACAAGAGAGTGTGCAATGCCAAATTCGTGCAATTCTCTGATTTTTTTTAAGCGAAAATAGATCAATGTGTACATGGATACAGAGTTTGTGCAATTCTTAAAAACGCACCAAGAAGTGGATGATTCTGCACGTTCCCCGATATCTGGAAGCGAACATAAAAAAAAAAAGTACAGTAACACTTAAAATTTTGTGAATGTAAACATTCAGCAGTTGAGTGCATCTATGGCACACACATTTTCTTTGTTTGCCCATACATTACTTTTCTTCCCACATACATAGCAATCTGTTTTTGCCTCAAAATACATCAAGGAATAACTTGACACGGCAAACACTGTCATTATCTAATAATAAAATAACCAAATTTGAAATGCTCTTTATGTTTGACTTCAATCTAATAAGCGAGACTGATAAACAAAATTGTGAATAATTGGTGCTGATCGCAGAAAGGGAACACAAATTTGGCAAATTTTTAATTCTAATGCACTATTTATTCTTCATCCATCTTTCACAACAAATCTAAAGACACTTTTTTATCACTGAAATATGATATTTACTACAGGATGTATTATTCTGAATGAAAACACAGAATTTAGTATTTATAAACAGAAAATGGCAGGTTCCAATTTTTGTCTCCGTAAAGAGTAAATTCATAAAACAGAATTATTACACGATGTAAAAAAAAAAAAATTTGGTTTATACACATAAAAAAGCCATGATCTGAAATAAGAAAATTTGAGCAACAGAAACAAACACGTCAAATAGCATCTGAATCATGTTGATTTCAGCAAGCTCCTAAGGAAAGCGAGAAGTAGTACCTTAATCCGGAAATGCAAAATCAAATTATCAATCTACTAATCAAAGGATCACATGCATAAAATCAGCCAATAAATCTATAACTTGAAGCAGTTTTATTCTATTAACTGCAGCCAATATATTTACCTAGCAATTGCACAAAAAATGCTGCCAATAAATTTGAATAGTAACTGTTCAAAAACTGTCTTCTGTGAATTACAAAGCAATGCATACCTATATTTTTCAAAATTAGGAAATAAAACGCGAGCACCCATCTGTAAATGTACTACAAAACCGAAAGAAATAGCAAATATAAATAAATACAGAAACGCATACGTTACGTTCCTCATAACATATTGTTTATGTTTTCTCAGATTTCAAAATAGGCCACAAATATATATGGAAGTACATACCGATGTGCTCTTTGAAATAAAGTATTAAATTTCCTATAAGTATCTATTTATAAATCAACTCTAAATATTTCTTTATCTACAGATCATTCCGAATCTCAAAATGTAAACAAATATTTATAAAATTATGATACATACATGTCACGCCACCACCAACTTACTGCCATTCGCCATCTATGGAATACGTGCATCTGAGTGCTAATTCAAAGAAGTAGTTCTTTGGATCACTCAAAAAAACTATTTCTTGCTAATTTAAGGAATAAAAAAGTAGTAGATCTTAAATTTGCGTTTTTTTATTCTATTCATGTGATGCAGACCTCACAACTTCGCTGCATGGAAGTTCGAACTTTCTCAAACGTTCCAATAGTGTCTTGCATTACCCCGGCATTGCAACGATACGAGGTCAGCGGCTCTGTTTCGTAGACAAGAGATTCCACACACAGATCGTATTTTCTTCTCGAGTGTCAAGATCTAGAAACATCTTTTTACTCAGCTTCTGATAACAAACTGGAAGGAAAAGAAGGAAGAATAGTGCAGTAGGAGCTGTGGGACATGGGGAAAAAGAGAGTCAGGTCCGCGCTAGCGGCGGCGAATGGGTGGGTGAGGTCAGTGTCGTTGCAAGATGTAGCAGCGGGTGACAGACCGCAGAGTCAATTTAGCGTGAATGAGTCAATTAAGGTTTTAACTCTTATATGGGTAGGATGTCACAAGGGTACCGATGTTTTTCACCGGCATGCGGGGAGTGTCTGAGAGTGCTAATAAAGCTATTACTGTGGGTTTGTACTGAATGAAAGAAGTTGACCGCTAACCGCTAATCGTTTAATATACTCTTGAATAGATTCGATTTGAAGGTATCTGTGAATGTAAGTGTTTGGAATATACCAAGGAGCACTGATAATTTCTCGTAAAATTTTATTTTTTCAGAATTTGTAATTGTTTAATATTGGTTTTAGCTGCATGTCCCTAGATCGGAGCTGCATAAAGGACGGCTGGAGGAAATATGGAACCATATAAAATTAATTTGTTTGTAGTAGACAAGTTTCTTCTTCTACCAAGAAGAGGTCGCTTAGTCAAAGAATCTCTAAGGAGAAGAATGAAAGCTTCCATAGACGCAATGTAAACCTGTTTCGCCTCTGCGCCACTATACCGAAGAGCCACAAGAGAAGAGGTGAAATTTAGATAGCACCGTCCGAGGAGATGGTACTTCGAAATAATTTAAAATGTTTATTTTCATACATATCTGAGTTTTATGAGCAAAATGCTGTTAGTTGGAATTTTGGGCGAATTATAGGAATCCTATCCAATTTTTACTTTCAATTTAAATCTGCGAGCCCTACGAAGACAAAATTTAAATGAAATAAATTGTGGAGTTGATCTTTTATGTTCTTATCTTTAATTGTTTCGCATGGAATATCCTAAAGTTCAATTGCAAAATGAATTTAAAAAAAATGAATAAATTTTATATTTTTATATGCCTTATTTTCCCCCCTTAACCTTCCTTTCCCTTAACATTTAATTGTGTAAACTTAAAAAGGGGAGAAAGCACATGCCATACAATACGTAATAAATTTTTATGAATCCATAGTTAATAAATTTTACAGTGAAATTTTAAAAGCAAAATTTGCATATAACTAACCTAAACAGAAAATATAATTAAAGACAATCAAAAGCACCCAAAATAAATTAAAAACACTGAAATACATTATAATTATCCGACAATAAAAAAAATTACCATGAAAACGTTTAGACAATTATTTGGAATGACCATTACGAAAACCAAGAGCAAAGTTTGCACCCAATAGCCAAAACCATTTCACTTACAGCATTACATTTAAAAAGTCTTCTAAAGAATTTAACATAACTAGAACCAAGTACCTCTGACTACAACAACAAAGAACCTTTTCGAACAAAGCGGTAAAAGATTGCTAATATGGCCGACGGCATGTATGCTGGATGTTATTTCGCACATGCGCAGTGAGGTACGGAGGGTGGATGGATTGCCCCTTTAAAATAAGCTTCAGCGATATACATAATGTGTCTCTTCGGTTATGACGGAGCCACATTTGCCCCGGGGAACCTTTACTTCTTCTCCTTAGATATTCCTTGGCTTAGTATTTGAGGTGATTTTAAATTTTTGTGCTACGGAGCGGAAGTGGGTTCTAAAGTTTTTGATCTAGGGTAACTCCAAGGTATATTATATCCAAGGCATCCAGATATTTCACGTTTCCCTTACGGAAAATTATTGCCTTGGTTTTATCAGTGTTAATTTTAATCCTCCAAAGGGTAAGCCCTTTTTCCAGTTTTATGAGATAGTTTTGGAGTTGGTTTCTAACGACGATTGCTGTGCAGGCTTTAGTAACTATGGCGGTGTCATCGGCAAAGAGTGTATAAGATGAACAGAAAAGTCTTTAGAGATGTCTTGCGTATATATATATATTAAAAAGTTACAGCGAAAGTGCCGACCCCTGTGGGACATCAGATTTGTTTACTCTGGTAGTTGAGATTCTGAATGTTCTGTTGCTGAGAAAAGAGGCTATAAGCGAAAAATGATCTGAAAGAGAGTGAAATTTAAATAAGCCCGATTAGCTGCAAAGCTTCGCGATATGGGAAAAAGGAATCTGTCCTCTAGTTATCTCGGAATGGAAATAGGGAAAGTTTGGGCGGAATTATTAATGTACAGTCGGTCACAAAAGTATTCGAACACCGGTACCCTATCAGAAAATGACAAGATGGCGTTTTTTTTCTCTTTCTCTCTGTGTGTCGTGTTATTCCATCCTAGGTTTTCTTCTCCCCCCATCTTGGAAAAAACTGGAAAAAAATTGGTTACGATCTCTTTTTGAATGGGGAGATGCCATTTTGAGAAAAAGCTGACGACCCTATCTTGGAGAATGAACATGACCGCTCTACACACCCTTTCACTCTCTCTCTCTCTCTCTCTCTCTCTTTGAATTGGGAAGCCATTTTGGGAAAAAGCAGACGACCCTATCTTGGAGAATGGAAATGAACGCCTCTCCCTCTCTCTTTGAAATGGGAAAGCCATTTTGGGACCCTCTATTCTTGGGGAGGGAGAAAACTGAAGTCTGCACTTCGCTGTCTCTGAATGCCCTTTCTTTTGGGAAAAGCGGACCCTCTTCTTCTGATCTTGGAGAACTGGAAATGAACGCTCTACACGATCTCTCTTTGAATTCAGAAGGTATTTTGGGACCTTCTAATGTTGGAAAACTGAAATGAACGCTCTACGCTTTTCTCTCTCTCTCTCTCTCTCTTTGAGATGAGTAGCCATTTTGGAGGATTCTCCACCACCATCCTAACCTTGGAAAACTGAAATGAACGCTCTACACCTTCTCTCTCTCTCTCTCTCTTTCTCTGAAATGGGTAGTCATTTGAAAACTCCCTAACTTTGGAAAAAAACAGAAATGAACGCTCTACACCATCTCTCTTTGAAAATGGGGGGGTGTCATTTTGAGACCTCCCTCCCCTAAACTTGGAAAAAAAACTGAAATGAACGCTCTACACTTTCTCTCTTTGGACATGGGTAGCCCTTTGGGGACCCTCTCCTCTTGGTAGGAAAAAAAAAGAACTGAAGTGAAGGCTCTACACAATCTCTCTTGGAATGGGATCCATATTTCGGGAAACGTGGATCACCTCATGCTGGAAAACTGAAGTGAACCACCAAGATTGGACTCTATATAATATTTTTTTTTAATTGACATCATGACCCTCCTCCAATTTGTTATTAAAAAAGTTTTTTTTTGTTTTGGTTTTTATCCCATTTCCGATGTGATTTCAGAAATGCAATTCCATAACAGTTCAATTTCATTCGAGGTTAAATGATCTAAACAGTCTTTGACCCACCCATCCGTATGATTATTTTCTTCTCCTTCCTGTTGCACCAAATTTTGTAAGTCCATATAATCATTCCATACGGGAAGGGCTGGATCCTCACAAGGCTGTCTTGAAACACTTGGAGTCTCTTTGGGATGAGTGGAGGGATCTAGGATGTCTGGACCCGGCTGCGATTCTACCTCCATGATTTCTGGACCCGTTGGAACTTGTTTACCCGGCTGAAATTCTACCTCTACGATTTCTGGACCCGTTGGAACTTGTGAACCCGGCTGTGATTCTGCCTCCATGATTTCTGGACCTGTTGGAACTTGTGGACCCGGCTGACATTCTACCTCTACGATGTCGGGACTTTTTGAAGCTTGTGGACCCGTCTGACATTCTACCTCTACGATGTCGGGACAGGTTGGAGGAGAAGAAGAAGAAGAAGAAGAGGATACTGGAAGAGGTTCTGTCTGTGAGGAGTCCGAAAGAGGTTGCCTGTTTGAACAAGTCGGGGAAGAAGAAGAAGAAGAAGCTTCTGGATTCTGAAGCGGATCTTGCACGCCAGGTAGGTTCCGGTAAGTCGACCGTTTTTTAAGAGGTAATTTTTTTTTCTTCCTCCTCATCTTCAATTGTGATGACTTCAATTTCATTCCGTTGCCGGGTCGATTTTGTTTCGGGCCATGACGACGGTTTGGTCCAGCTCCTCTTATCATCTAAGGAAGGGATGGGTAAAGGTGGCGGAGGGTTTTCTTCTTCTTTTTCTTGAAACATCATCGGCGATTGGAAAGAAATCTCCTCTTTCAATTGTTTCCAAAGCGAGTACGAGCACCGATCGACGAGAAAGAGACTCTTCTGGGTTGTGACGATGAGATATTGCGTTTTCGGGGGAACGACATAGTTTTGAAAAGGTCTTAGAATATATTTCTTATATTTCATCCTGTCGCTGACTTTAAAACTTCTTTCCTTCAGATTGGGGGACGATGATTCGTAATAGGCGAGAGGAGCGGCTGTGGTTTGAACAATATGAACTTCGTCCTCAGCCGTCGTTCTCACTCCAAACGTAAAATATCGTTTCGTGAGAAAAATATTCTTCCACCGAAAACTCGTGCGCGGATCCGTATATCGCCGGTCTGTTTGAATGGGCCGTCTCAAAGCTCGATCCATCCGATTCCAAGAGAAGGGAGATTCCTCTTTCGTTTGTTGCGATTCGAATAAATTTCTGTATATATTCTGAACGAGCAGGTTGGAGGATTCGACATCTTGGTTGAAAGAAACGATCGCTTGATGAGGTGGTAAATGCGGAATAAATGT